CTCTTCCTATGCTTCTTTCTCTCTATACCTTCGTGCCTTCCTTTACCTTCTTGCATTACGTCATTTCATTGTTTCAATTATCCTTTCCTTACTTATATTGCAAGCTTGAGAACACAAGCGGGGCAAGCGGTAGCGTAGTTGGTTGAGCCACTATGCTATAAGCCGGAACGCCATGGGTTCGATTTCCGCTGTCATTGGATTTTTCAGTTTACCTAATTCTTTCAGCCGAATTATGGCTCTGGGGTCGACTCAGTCTCTAATAGAAATGAGTACCAGTAATCTTCTTTGGGGGTAAATGGCGGCCGGCTCGTAAGGCTGACAACTTCACTGCCATCTGTGAGGCGATCGTCTAGGAAATGTGGAAGCCTCGGTGTCTCACGGCCTCTTACAGGGATAGCATTACCAGCATATAAGCAGTTCAAGCACACGGACAGAACAGCATACAGAACCCGTCCAGTGCCACAGCTAGTCGGAAACGGCCACACATCCTTAAACCAAGCTAATGTAACGGTCCCAAAATTGATTCACTTAGGATGTTACGTCGAACTTAACACAGTTCTTGCTTCGCCTGCGTTTCGCGTCTTACTTTCAAATGTCTGGTGTCCTGCTTCGATAATCAAATACAATGCAAACCCGACTCTGAAACTGTAGGAGATTAGAACACATCTAATTTTGTTCCTGTAACGTTGTTCACGTTGTGTGGGAACATGGACAAAGCATCAGATGCTACCAAAACTGGAGATGCTAGTTCACAATGAGCTGAAGGTTGTAACAAATTACTTGCCGGACATCAGAACAAGGTGTGTGTTCCTTTCGGTGCTGTGAAACGGTACGGTGCGTCTGAATTCCCTCATTAAAAAAGGGTCATCAAAATTGAAAATTGGGCAACAAAAATAGATGAAGAATAGAAGGTGAATTAGAGATAAACTTCTGAATATAATTTATTTACTACTCTATTTTTTTCCTGAAAAGTAACTTTGAAAGTACTGTCTACCCACTGTCACAGTAACAAAACCTTTGTTCCAAAAATAACTTTTGTAGTTAACCACCAATCACTGTACTAAAAGGTAAAATAATAGCCATACTATGAAGACGTATGTGGATTGGAAGTACATCTCCACCCATTCTTAACGTCGACACTACATGAAAGTGAGTGATGAGCTTCATGCCTCGGCCACTTTATCTCCGGGGATAGGTTCCCCGGTATACAACGGGAAGGAGGCTGGGTGAGACCCAGACGCGGTCTGAACACGGTAGTGAAGAGAAGAATCTTGCCCGAGCCGGGAACTGAACCCCGATTCCCTGGTAACTTAGCCGCTATATCCACTGGGCCACATTGGCCATAATCACGTCTCTATTGTGGGGGGGGAGGAGAGAGAGAGAGAGAGAGAAATCTCTGTGCACATGCCTTGATGAATTCTGAACTACCTTTTTTTTTCTTCTGTGCAAATCAAATACAGTGCATCTGTTGGAGCCCCTCCCCCTGCCGTTTACGGTAACATAAACCTGGTTTTCACTGGAGACCAGAATCGAGACTGGGACCTCAGGTTGAGTAGAAATACAGACCACAGAACTGTAAGTTCAGTATCTGATATTTTCACGTCAAAGAATGCACGAATTGAGATACAATCCATAAACCCTCTCGGCTTGCACGTTCGTCATGATCTAAACTACAAGTCGACGTTACGATGTGTTTCTCTTCCTGTGTTTGGCAAGACATTGCCAGGTCCGGGATCAACATAGAGCCCCACCTACAATTCCTTGTATACAATCCTGAACTTTGGTTTATGTAATATTCATCATACACGTTGCATACTTCTCTCCTCTGAACTATGGCTACACCCCCTGATGAGAGATCAGTCATTTTCATGTCTGAGATTAGTGTCTGTCAGTAGTTGAAGACAGGACTATGAATTTGTTGCCATCTGTCTACCATTCAAAATTAGTTTTGTGTTTNCTCTTCAATAGTCCCATTCTTTCTCTTTCTCGAACTCTTATTATCCCCTTCTCTTCTGTCTTCTCCTTTAGCTTGTATTCACCCTTTCTCCCTTGCTTCCTTCTCCATATTTTTCTTCCAGCTCCCCTCCTTCCGTTCCTGTTTCATCTCTTATTTTTCCTTTCCTCCTCATACTCCTTTCTTTTATATCTCCTCTTCGTTATGTGCCTTCTCTTCCTCCTCCCTTTTCCCTCTATTTTCCTTTTATCTTGCAGTTCCCCTCTGTCCTTTCCCTCTTCATCTCTTATTCTTCCTTCCTTGCCCTTCTTCTCTTTCTTATATTTATGCACTTCCTCCTTCTGTCCTCTTTCGTTATTCTTTTATTCTTCTTCCTTCCTCCTTTCCTTCCATCTTATCTTCCTCCGTTTCTACTCCTTTCTCTCCTTTCCTCTCTCCTCTTCCCCCTACATATCCTCCTTACCTAGTAGAATGGTGTAACGGTAACGCTCTGAACTCGTATTCGGGAGCTGGTTGGTTCGAATCTCGGCCGGTACATCGGCTATGTTGACTGTGGCTTTTCTTGGTACTTCTCATTTCCTCCAAGCAAACGGCGAGATATCACCTCGACCCGTTCTTTCCAAATCTTTCCAATTCATAATTTTTCTATTTTCCATTCATTTGAAGCCACAGAGTCTAGCTGGCGAAAGCGTGGTTAAGTAACACAACAAAATCTACTTCACTTTCTTGCCTCCTATTTTCTTCTTCTTCTTTCCAGTCAATGCACGGAACCAGTACCACTGTACGCCCAGTGTCTCAAAGGGGCCAACAGCGACTAAAAGTTTCACGCGATTTTGAGACATAAAATGGAGCATTATGTGCAGAATATATTTATGCCCGATGCTATTTGGCTTCAATCAGATGAAATTTGGGGATCTACACATGAAGTTAACGGAAAAATTCAATTTCCGTTCGTGCCAATCCAGTAAAGCTATCCCTGTAACAGGCCGTGGAGGTCCACAGGTTTGTGAGACTTCGAGGCTCTCACATTTTCTAGACAATAGGCACACAGATGGCGGTGAGGCTGTCAGCCTTACGAACCGGTCGCCCTTTACACCCCAGGAAGATTCATGGTACTCATTTCTGTTAGAGGCTGAGTCGACCCCAGGGCCACATGACAAATTATACAGTTTGTTATAGTCGACAAGTTTTATTTTAAACGCTCCTCGACTTGATGTATCTTCAACGTAACACAGCAAAACAGAACGCCTCTCTCTAGTCCTAATTAACTTTACTGTGTAGTGGCAACATACGCGCATTTGGCTTACCCGAATTACAAATATATATATATATATA